TGATTCTATTAATTCAGCGGTGCCTTTAGGGCTTTGCAGGACAGGAGGAGGGGAGCCGGACTGGAGCACATGGATGAGTGGCCACCAGCTCCAAAGCCTTAGGGACTGACCGGTCCAGGAAAAAACAGGATCCTGTAGACCGAGGTGGGGTTTAGGCCTCACGTGGGGGGAGCGTGGCCTCAGATGATGGGGTCCCTCAGCCAGAGCCAGTGGCTGAAGCCCCAGGAAGGGAGGTGGTGACCCGGGCCAACGCTGACCGTGCTGCCCCGTAGGTTCACAGCCGAGGCCCGGCAGCGCCAGCGGCCCTTCACGTACCTGCCGTTCGGGGCAGGTCCCCGGAGCTGCCTCGGGGTGAGACTGGGGCTCTTGGAGGTCAAGCTGACGCTGCTCCATGTCCTGCGCAAGTTCCAGTTCGAAGCCTGTCCTGAGACTCAGGTGAGCCCTGCTGCTCCGGGCGCAAGGGGTGCCCACCCCAGTTCCCTGATGCCTGCGGTGGCTTCCCGGCTCTGCGTGAGCTGGGGCGAGTTCCTTAAGCTCTCTGGGTCTCAGTTCCTTATCTGTAAAAAGGGGGACCATAACAGTCACCCCTCCTCCCTCTTCTTGTGGGGTGAGGATTGAGTCAATCATAAATGCTCAGATAAGCTCCTGGCACATAACCCGAGTCTGTGTTATCTATTATCATTCTTGTCCTCTGTACAGCAAGGCTGGGCCTCACCATGCTGTAGCTCTCCCCTCTTCAGCAAAGAGAACCCAGTAACCCTGCAGAGTAAAGTATGATTCCCATTCTTCAGATGAGGAGCTAAAATAAAGCTCAGAGAGGTTAAGTAACTTGCCTGACGTCACACAGTTGGACTGCACACTCTTTGAGATCAGGGACCAAAAGACTGTCCTATTCATTGTTGGAGGCTCCAGCACCCAGCTTCAGGCCAGGCATGTGGCAGGTGCCCACTCAGTCATTCAACAAACACTGATGAACAAAGGAATGAATCGCCGGAGAGTGAAGAAATTGAGGTTTAAACCAGATCTCACTCACTCTCAAGCCCTCCCTCTTTCCTCTACATGTAGCAGCCTCTCTGCACAGTATCAGCTGCTCCCCACACAACCCGAACAGTGCTCTCCTCTGTGCCTATTCACAACCCCTCAGCACGGCTGCAGACCTGGACAGGAGGGAGGAAGGGGACAGATAATAAGGACACGATGACAGATGGTAACAGCATCTAGATTCAGAGAGTGGCATTGCCTCTGACAAACAGGGAGACTGGGACGAGCTGCTGGCTGGGGAAGAATAATGAGCTGGGTTGAAACACAAAAGGCTGAGGAACTGTATGTGATGATGTCCATAAAGGTCTGATGGGTAAGGCTGGAGGGAGGAGGGAGGGGCAAATTGGGAGCAGAGAGCCAAATCAAGATGAAGGAGCAGCGGAGAGCAGGCCCCTGCCTGCCTTAGGCATTCCATGGGTACAGGACTTTCTCTGGGGTTTTGTCTCATTTACCCTTGATCTTGGCATACAATACAGCAGCCAGACCAATGTCCCAGAACACTGCTTGTGCCTGGCACTCCCCCAGCTCAAGATCCAGCCCTGAGTCCCAAGCCTGCTGGGTCCAGGGAGAACTCTGAGCTCACTTTGCCTTCCCCACCACAACTTCCCACTCCAAGAGCCTCCCACCCACTCCTCCCTGCCTGTTCAGTCTGTTGCTCCTTCTGGAATGCCATCCCTCCCCCTTCCCCACCCCCAGTCTAATCCCATCCTCCAAGTCCTTTGGTGTTCCCTCAAATCCCGAAGTGGCCCCTGAGAAGCCCTGCTCACAGGGCGTCTCCTATTCCTAGCCCCACCCCAGGCGCCAGTTCCTCCAGGAAGCCCTCCCTGACTTTGCCAGCCACAACAGACCTCTGCCTTTTTTTTGAAGTCCAATGGTGTTTCAAGTGTGCCTATAACTGTCTGATACTGTAGCCACTAGCCACGTGCAGCTATTTATATGTTAATAATAAATCAAATCAAATAAAAAATTCTGCCCCCATTTGCATTAACCCCACTTCAAGCATCCAGCAGCCACATGTACTAGTGGCTACCATACGAGATAGGGCAGGTCTAGGTCGTCTTGTTTCTTGAGCATATAATTGGTCTCCCATCTGAACTCTCAAAGACATCTGAAAGCCCACCCGGCCCCAGCACTAGGGCCTCGTGACCCTTCTTTCCTTTAAAGGTTTCATGGTAGCCACTGAACAGTCCTTTTACACGCAGCTCAAGAGGACGCCCTGTTTCTTGAGTAATTCTGTGGCTTTTCTTCCAAGTCCTCCATCGGTCTGCCTAAGCTGGACATAAGGAAACCCTTCCGAATGGCAGCGGGCCTTCAGCAGGGAGCTCTCCCCAAGCCCTTGGGGAGTGGTCTACTCAGTTACTGGCTGGGCCCCAGGGTGAGAGACATGGGGAGATGAGGAAGGTCTGAGGCTTTGCTCACCACTTTCCAGTCATGTGCCCTTGGGCAGGTCGCTTGGCCTCTCTGAACCTCCATTTCTTCATTTGCAAAGTGAGCTGCTCCCACCTTAGGCAGGCTTATTAGAAGGATAAATGTGGGACCCCTCCCCTGCGGTATTTTATTAACACGGGAAAGGTGGTGAGCCGCCGTCCAACACCCGGCCCAAGACACAGCTCTGCTGCTTCTCAAGGTCCCCCTGGGGAAGCTGCTTTGCTCACTCCCAGCCTGCCGGCCCTCAGCCCTCAGCCGAATTCCCACAACCCTGCTTCAGGGCCCGTTCTGAGGAAGTTTTCCTGTCGATAGGATTAACTCTGACAAATATCTTAATTTCCTGTATTTTAGGTACCACTGCAGCTAGAATCCAAATCTGCCCTAGGTCCAAAAAATGGCATCTACATCAGGATTGTCTCCCGCTGACAGTCATGACCAGCCCCTAATTCAAAGAAAACCCTCATTTGGAAATTCAGATTTTTGGAAAAACATCACCGAAGCAACTGAAACCGCGCCTGGCATATGAGTATAAAAGAGGCCATTTACGTTAACATTTCCTAAATGCTTAATAAATGTTTGTTGCACTTAGTTTTGACTTTACCAATAGTGTTTGAGCAACGGATCCACCTCTCTCAATCAGGGATTGCTGATAAATGAGTGAAAACGTAGTTTTGACAAAATGATTGAGAACTTGGGGTTTTTTAAGAAGTTCTGGCCTCAGGATGGAAGGAATCGATAGGGCAGGGGACACATGGATGCTCAGGTGAGTGGTCCTGACGGCCCCAGCTCGGGGGCCTTTTCAGCGTCTGGTTCATTTAACTTAGAGAATAACATTCATCAGAAGCTCAACTTCAAACGTGGTTCAAATGCTTTATCATGCCTCGATTTTCCTAGGTGGGCTACTACTAACTTTATAAGTTTAATGTGCAGAAAAGTGATAGAGGTTGAAGTGTACTTTTTCTTTTAAAGAACATCCTATCTTAATTTTGATCAAATAATCAAAATACAAAGGTGAATTTTAGTATAAGTAATTACTGTGTTGCTGAGAAGCTCAAATGCAACAAAGAACTTGCAGACTGAATCCCGGATCTGCCACCAGCAGCCTGTGATGTAATTACTGTGTTGCTGAGAAGCTCAAATGCAACAAAGAACTTGCAGACTGAGTCCCGGATCTGCCACCAGCGGCCTGTGATCATGGCTGCTGCTCTTGCCACCTCTGTGCCTCTGTTTCCTCACCTGTAAAACAAGGCTGCTGACCCAGGTCACAGCGCCCTCCTCTACTTAACATCCGAACAGCGCTAAGGGGCTGACGTTGTATAAATAACAGAGCAGGGACCCGCAAGCAAGGCTGGGCTACCCAGGCTGAGCCACCTTTACCAAGTGCAGGCTGTTGCAGGAGAGCTGGGAGAAGGGGTCTCCCGTATCCACGGCTGCGAGCGGCTGCTTCTGCTGTTTGCCCTCCCTGCGTCCAGCACGCCATGCTTCCCCAGAGCGCTCCCCTCTCAGAATATAAAAGAGGCCAGCCTCACGACTCTGTTGTCAATCTCACACACTCACTCACACTCACACACACACACACACACGTTTGCTCTGGATCCTCCTACCTCTTTGCATGAAAATTCTGAGAGATCTCTGACTTCTTCCCATCACAATGCCCACCCCCTCCAGTGCCCACAGGAACAGCTGCCCCATGCTCCCACCCACAACTGAGCTACATGTACCCCGTCCCTTGCTCAAATGTCCAGTCCAGGTATTTGCCAATGTGGTTTCTCAAAGGTCAGCAAGTGCAGAGCCCTCGGCAGTCTTCACAGTGCACCCGACTTCCCTGGAGCGTTTCATCATCTCCTGCCCCAGGTTCCCCTTGCCACTCTCCTCGCCCACACTCCCGGACGGACCACTCTTGCTGCTTCCCACTACCCAGCTCCCAGCAGCCTTGGATCTGAGAACTACAGGCAGAGGCATCATGTGGAGACTGGACACACCGCATCAGGAGGCTGGGGAATGGGAAGGAAGGGTGCAGGTGAGAAGAGGACACCTTGCTGAGGACTGAACCTGAGGCCAATGGGACCAGCCATCCAGGAGAAGGCAGATGGCCTTATGAGGTGGAGCCATCCTGCCGGCCCCTCCACCTCCCAGCAGAGACCCCTACCAACCACTGTGTGTGGAGGACACAAGAACACACCACCTGCTCCGTGTCCACAACACAGTGCACAATAGTGGATCTGGGTTTTGTGGGGCTTGAAAGCTGAGTTGAGGGAAAGAAAAAAAACAAATATGTAATTTGCAAATTTAACCAAAATGTATGATCACGCAGCCATACAGCAGGGGTTCCCTCCTCAGGCTGTGGAAAGGGTCCCAGCAAATGAGGGGCCATGAACCTTCAGCTTCGTTGGCTGCAAGATAAATCCACACACAGCCTCCTCGAGGCCAGTAACGGGGGCTCTGTTATATCCCGACCCCCAGAAAAGTGCCTGTACACAGCAGGCGCTCAATAAACAGACACTGAAGAATGAGCTGCAGCCATCACCCACGTCAGATAAACATTCTTTTATTCCCAGACTCTGCTGTGACGCTGCAGCACAGGTATTCGGATCTCATGGGGACATAAAAACGCTTATTCATAGGGTGCTCGGTGCAGAGGCACCTGCCAGGGTGAGTGCACTTCCTGGGGGACGGTGACTGCTGCTAGGACTAAGGGAGACCGACAGGGTCTCAGTGACACCACACAGTAGCCATGGTCCTAACAACATGATATATGGGCCAATTTCAAGGCTGGAAGCCCAGGAGAAGCAGCAGAAGAGCCGCCTAGACTAGAGACACAGCAATGGACACAATGACTGCGCCTCACCAGGCCCAGGCCCACAACCCAGGATTTCCTGCACCAATGGCTGCTGTGTCATTCGGACAAAAACAAAACCAGGTGCCACCAAGACCCTGAAAAACCAAACCACTGAAGAGACAGAAACTCTTGAAAATTAAAACCAATCAATAAAACAGTGGAAACTCTGTGCCTGGTGCCAATCTGCAGCAAAGTCAACAAAGAGTAAAAAATAAAACTGTAACACCTGAGTAAAAAGCAATAATGGGTTCACCTACAATCACTACTGGCTAGTCCAAAAGTGACTTAAAAGTGAAAATATTATCAGCCAGAGATTAAGAACGTAACTTCATCACGAAGTCAATGTTAAATGAACAGCTCATTAAAAATATTTTGTTTAAAAAAAAAGCAACTTTCCCTAATAGCTATTTCAAGTAAGATCAGCCAGAAAGGCATAAAACCATTGGGGTGCTCACTGCCGAACACCAAAGAAGGACGCAAAGGAGAACAGGCTGGTGGCGGCGGCAGTGGGCCTGGGGGGGTCGGTGTACTGGATGACGTACTCCGGGTAGGCCTGGTGCTTCTCGAAGACCACGAAGATGGAGGGGTCAGACACGCGGTTCACACAGCTGTCATACAAGACGTCGCCCTGGCCCTCCTTCGCCGGGGGACGGACGAAGTTGGCGCTGCCTCGGACGAATTCGCCCACCAGCACCCGAGCCAGGAACATCGTGTGGGACTTGGTGTCAGTTTTGCTGTAGTGGTGGGAATACGCGGCGTCCCGGGCAAAGTAGCTCCCTGCAAGGACACCAGGGCTGGGCTGGGCACCGGGGGACAGCCCGCGGCTGGAAGAGGCACGCCAGTGTCCTGCAACCCGGGTGAGGCCAGTGGCCTCTGCCCTCCCTCTGCTCCCGTCTTTCCAGCTTCTCCCTTGTAAGGAGCATCAGAGGGGTCACAGAACTCTGAGACAGAAAACTCCTTTCAAGTTAAGATCTGTCACTCAAATCCTAAAGGTCGCTGGACACCTCATTACTGAGCCCCCATCCCCCGCCCAGAACCTCCGTTTCCTGAGCCATAAAACAGGGCTGTCGGGCCCGACCTCCCAGGGCTGGTGCGGAACGTGGCTAAGACCCCACACACGGAACACGGCGCAGACACTGGCAGCCCAATGTATAGATTCATGAGCCCTGTCGAATGGGGGCCTGAGCTGGAAGCTGCGCCTACATATTCAGGTTCACAGCCCACCACTGGCTCTTGTGCACCTCGACCCCACAGCCATCAGCATGCAGGACAGAAGCTAACGGATGGACTCGGCAGAGGGGATGCTGACTGCAGATCACAGCACTACGAGACTCTCTCCATCTAGTAACCGTGTCGTGGTTACAGAAGAGAATGTTCTTGTTCTTAGGAGGTGTTACGGGGTGAAGGGGTATGAGGTATGCCGCCTACTCCCAGATGGTTCAGAAATAAGGGAAGGGGTGATAAAGCCAATGTGAAAAGTGTTAAAGCTGATGAACTAGGTAAAATTTACATGGGAGGTGTTTTTTTTTAATATTATTCTTGCACCTTTCCTGTGAGTTTGAAATTATTTTCAAACAAAGTTTAAAAATAACTAAGAGACAGGAAAACGGGGAACTCACATTATAGTAAGAATGACATATTTACACGAGCGTTATCCGAGCATTCAGATTTCTACTCTAAGGAAACAGCACAAGCAGGTGGGGACCTGACTCAGGGCTGGGAAGGGTCCCACAGGGATGCAGACCCATTTCCCAGTGAAGCCAAACCACAGCCTAAGCAGGGCCACCCCTGCTCAAACCCTGGGTCAGGCCTAGGGCTGCACACAGGGGAATGAGAGTAAGGTGCCGCCAGCTGGGCATCCCACATCCTGGCCAGTGCTGAGTT